CAGATCCACGGGCGGGGCCAGCCCATCCGCTGGGTGAAGGGGGCACCCCCTTTGGACAACCCGCCCTGCGTCTTCGATGTGGATGACCCCTCCTGCAATAAAAGTGGGTACTAGAGCAGCTGGCCCCTAAGCCTCAGCCTCACATCCCTCAGTCCCCAGCGGGTGCCTGGGAACCCACCAGCTGGGCTCTGCCAGGCTCTCGAGGTGGTTTCCAGTGGGTGCTGTTCCACCTGCTGCCACTGCAGGGTCTGGCAGCTCTGTGGGGTGGGAAGCTGGGTGGCCCTAACAGCCCCTGCACCCTGCAGCTCACCTCTCCATGCTGGCCATCATGGCTTTGGGCGCCGGCCTCACCTTCGTCATGTTCGGCATTTCCAGCTTCCTCATCTTCAGGTACAGTGGGGGACCAGAAAGCCTCTGCTTTAGCCCTGGGCACCCCTCGACTTAGTGTGGAGCAGGCTGGATGCGCTGGGCACTAGGCATAGTGGGGGACCCGTCCTGCCCGCTGGGTGTCCCCGTGCAGGGCCACGGGCGCCTGACCGTGCTGTGCTCCCCAGGAAGCTGATGCTGGAGAAGGAGCTGGCCAGCATGCTGTGGCGCATCCGCTGGGACGAGCTGCACTTCGGCAGCACCGAGCGGTACCACAAGAGAGCAGGCAGCCGCCTCACGCTGTCCCTGGTGAGACAGCGACCCACGGAGCCCCATGCCTTGTCCTGCCCCTGCGCGGCTCTCCGTCCCCTGTAGAGCCACCTCCCTGGCAGACTTGCCCCTATAGACTTCACCCTCCCCATAGAGCATTGAGCCCCCCCAGATCTTGCCCTGCAGAGCCCACTCTGCACTGTCCCCTGCGTTCCCCACCGCCCCCGGGGTGCTCGGTCCTGGAGTCCCATCCCTAACCCTCTCCTTCTCTCCCAGCACGGCTCCAGCTACGGCTCTCTGATGACCACCCATGGCAAGTTCCAGATCTTTGCCAACACCGGTCACTTCAAGGTGAGCATGTCATCTCGCTCCTGCCATGTCCCCACAGTCCCTGTTACAGCATTTTTCGTGTCTGGTCATCCCCCCCTCTGTGCACCCCTCATCCTCCCCGTGTGGCACTGACCTCTCCTTCATCCCCTCCGTCCCAGGGCAACATGGTGGCCATCAAGCATGTCAATAAGAAGCGCATCGAGCTGACACGGCAGGTGCTCTTTGAGCTGAAGCACGTAGGTGTGGGGTCTGGGCTCTGGCTCTGCTGGGTCACCCTGCTTGGGGCACAGTGGCTGGTCCTGTCAGCAGCGGGGGGCATGAGAACGTGGGGCTAGGCCAGTTTGTGGATGTCCCACCTGATCTTGGCTCGGCTCTGCTTCCAACTCCAGATGCGAGACATCCAGTTCAACCACCTGACACGGTTCATCGGGGCGTGCATCGACCCCCCCAACATCTGCATCGTGACCGAGTACTGCCCACGAGGCAGCCTGCAGGGAGGGGGGCGGTGAGGAGGCCCAGGGGGTGGCATCCAGTCTGGCTGCACCCCATGTCTATGAGGGTCCCAGAGCTTTCTCAATGCTGAGCCCTGATGGCTGGTGACCTCATTGTACTGACTACAAACACCTGGTGGCTGTTCGAGCCCTGCAAGACTTGCCAGCAGGACAGCAGCCATGCAAATAGGGGTGCCAGCAGGGTGGAGGCTCTTGGATGTGACAGGGTTGGTGCCACCAAGCCACCCCGGCCAAGCCAAGCCTTGGCTCCCTGTGAGGCCAAGTGCTTGGTGCTGCTGTCCAGCGGTGCTCAGCAAGACTCTGCTCACATCCAACACACTCTCACCAGGACGTCCTGGAGAACGAGAGCATCAATCTGGACTGGATGTTTCGCTACTCACTCATCAATGACATCGTCAAGGTACCCCAGTGAGGATGCTGGGCTAAGAGATGGGTGCTGAGGCTCTGCTCGAGGGTGCCAGCTTTGCATTGACTGTCCGTCTGTTGGGCGCAGGGAATGGCCTTCCTGCACAACAGCATCATCGGGCACCACGGCAGCCTCAAGTCATCCAACTGCGTGGTGGACAGACGCTTCGTGCTGAAGATCACCGACTATGGGTTGGCCAGCTTCCGCTCGCCCTGCGACAGCGAGGACACACACACCCTCTACGCCAGTGAGCGCCAGACCCTAGGCAGCCCTACCTTGGTCCCCGTGGGGTGGGATGGGGTGATCCTGTCTCACTGCCTCGTGGCCCTGTCCTGCCAGAGAAGTTGTGGACGGCACCAGAGCTGCTGCAGAAGGGCCAGCTGCTCCCGCAGGGCATGCAGAAGGCTGACGTGTACAGCTTCGGAATCATCATGCAGGAGATCGCCCTGCGCAACGGCCCCTTCTACATTGAGGGCATGGACCTGAGCCCCAAAGGTGAGAAGTGGGGGGGCACAGAGAAGGACGGGATGGAGCGGCCCTGCCGCGGTGCCCGCGCTCCGGTGCTGACACCGCATCCCCCCGTGCCGGCAGAGATCGTGCAGAAGGTGCGCAACAGCCAGAAGCCGTATTTCCGTCCCTCCATCGACATCAGCGTGCAC